AATGTAGATGAACGACAAGGAAAATTGCAACCAGTAGGTAGCATTATGTTATCCAGAGTTGGGAAAAAAACAATTGGCTAAAATGGTCCTGGGCATTCTTATCAGCATCAGTTTAGTGAAGTGTTTGGGATCCGGATGTAGAATAATGCCCACATTTAGGGACTGTGAATGCGTTAACAATTGAATCACGCAACAAAAGGATAGTCCGGATAATGACCGATCATTCATCAATGTTCTCGAATGAACCTTTATAATTTCTGATACACAACATGCGTGCAAACGGGTTGTTTGAATAGCTAATTACCGCATGGCGACGTGAGCGTCCATTTCTCCCACCCCGACCAACCCCACCTCACAGTACTTAGTGAGCGAGAATATAGGTCAGTAACAATATGATGATGATGATAATATGGATTTTCATTCAGAGAATTTTTCTGCTCCCCGTGGCAGAGTTCGGGATGTCCATCATGCCCGTCGCTACAAGATTTGCCCACGTGAACAATAGATTCATCCGTATGCGTGTGGAACATCGAAATGGCATGCAGCAGTAGAAGTGCTGTTGGTTTCCTGTGTAGTTTGGGTTGATCGACCGAATTCGTTGCGCTTTTTATCGTACGGTTCAAAATGACTGTTTTTAACTGACTGATTAGAACTGTCTGGTAATGCTGTTGCGCGTTTAGGCGCGCATTCAAATACAGAAACAGGCACACGCATATATACGGACAGTCCGCAAACAAATTAAGAGGTAGAGTGCGCTGCGTTTTGCACGGTTGTCGGTTCCCGTGATCAAGTTCCTGTGACGCATTCTGAAAATGTTCAGACACCTTTATCTACACTTTATGTAAGCTTCATCGACATACTTGTACGTGCAGACGGAACACGACCAAACAAACACTGTACCGCATGTCGATTACCCTCGATCGCCTTCCTCAACGCGATGTAATGCTCCCTGAGAAGGTCAGAACTCGGAAAGCAATTTGCCGCGGCGGAAGGATGCGAGAACTGTGACTAGCAATCGGAGTCCCATTAATAAAGTTAACTTAACGGGCTGGGATCCTTCTGTCCTTATCACGCACGCATTTATCATTCCGGCTGCTATCACAATAACTCCATGCTGTGCAAAAAACCGTTTAGTTTACCTTGTGTGTTCGTGTTTGTGTGGAACCGCACTACAGATGACCTGAAGCTTTTTTATCATCATCTGACGGGAAAGGCCATATCGAGTTAGGACGATAGGAGCAGACCTCTTTGTTAGTGGTGCTTGCATATGCATGGTACGCTTCTTAAAGCAATTTGCAACTGCATAAAACAAGTGAATTGTTTTGGCGAACTACACAGAGACACTCCGTACAAACCACGGAGTCCGGTGTTTCCATAGATCAGATTAGATGCGATCCAGCTGATATATCTCGTAACGACCATAACATATTCAGTAGTTAGCAAACCGTATATATATATAGTGTTCAGTTGTCCGCCGAGCTTGGCAATTGTATTGCAAACGTTTCATCACCGATCGAGGTGACATTCTCAATGCAGTAACTGTAACCCCGTTACTGCATTGAGAATATCAGCTCGATTGGTGATGAAACGTTTGCAATACAATTGCCAAGCTCGGCGAACAAATGAACACCAAGTTATACANCCCGAGCTACAAAAACAACAATCAACACTGTTGTTTATAAAACTGTCATATATATATATTCTTATTCGGATTGTACATTGATTGTGTAATTTCTTGATCCAAACAATAAGGAGACTGTTCAAAGCGTGCACGATTGATTCACCTCGTCAAATGAGATGAAACAGTGGTCGAAATCATTTTGTATGTGCGCGTGTGCTGCACGAAGATATTGGGTCTGTTCACACGACGAAATGAAAGAAACCACGCATTATTTTGGACAATGCGGAACGTCAAGGCAGTTAAAACGATCACTGAAAACTAAATCATCATCATCATCATCATCTATGCTTCAACAGATGGAAAACCTAACTGCGATTCGCGGTTTCAATTGTATGATATGTTTGACGGTTCTCGGCGAATACAAGCAAACTGCTAGGGATAGTTTCACAACGGTAGACGGCGATATCAGATAGCAACCAGTCAGGTCTATGGGGTGGGAGTGGGAGAATATTTGGAATATTAGACATTCTTAGTGAGCCCCATCATTGCTATAGCACAGCATTGTATTATAGTAGAGTACTATGTTGTAAAAATGTGCATACTTGGTTTTGTAGGAGAAAAAGTTACAATGGGCGCGTGCACGCATGTAAACACAGAGAGAGAGAGAAAAATACAAAGCAAAACAGAGGAATGTCAGAAATCCTAGGGAGAAAATCTCGCCTGGTTTTAGACTGTTATTTGCCAAGAGTGGGGCAACCACGGCCTTTTTGGTGAGCGGACTTTTCAATCCGGTCACCGACCGTAACGGTCAATTGTTCGCAAAGTAAGGTAGCAGCAAGAAGCTGAGGAAAAACGACGACCTAGCCCATTTGACGTATTTCCCCTTTGCTCGTTGTCATCAAAGGCAGCGGGATGAGAGAGAGAGGAACCGAATCATCGAGGAAATGACATCACTCTAAAAGATAGGAATCTGGATTAAAGTGATGAACATTTTGGCAAAATTTCTTCTCATTAGTTGTATCTTCCGGTCCGTAACGCGCCCACAGCGCACTCGAAAACATGGAGTGACGAAAACACCAGCAGAACTGATTTGTTAATAAGATAGCAAGCTAGTATCACTCCACACACGACGCAACAGGTGAACAAACTATGGTGAGAACAACAGCCACTTCACTTACCAGCTCCCACGTATAAATGCTCGCCGTCATCGCCCTCCCGAATAATGAAGCAACCAGCTGGAATGACTTGTTCATACATGCAACTGACCATCTCTTGCAACTGAACGGCATCCAGATTCATGAGTAAATCATTACTCCGTAGAGCCTCACGAATTTGTTGTCGAGATCTAGGTGAGAAAAGATGAATCGACCGATTAAGAGACTAGCGAGCTGGGTCCACAGACGCTGAATGATAGTACTGACAATAGCAACCGCATACCATGGAACCCTAAAGAGCTTTGAATGTGTGTGCTATTTTTCTAAGTGATTCCAGGATCAAAAAGCAATAGATGGTAAGTTTAAAAACTGAATAAATTTCGGGCTTTGCGTTCCGCCGGAGAGCACCATCTAGGAAAGCGAAATACGAGATGATCGGTTAATGGAAAAACAACAAATTCGAAAATTTTGAAAGAACTGAACCAGTAACAAGGATCCGGCAACAGGGTTGCATAGCAATGAGTGGAATTGGTTACGATTACGTGATTTTCCTAGAAAAACGGTCTTAATGACCTTGAATCACATAGTTCAGTAGAGTGCCCGATAAACTCACTGACTGAAGTGGGCTAGCGAAGTTCAAAAGCCGCATCGGTTTGACGAAGTACAAACGATTTCCTACGAAGACTATTTGTTAACATATAGCTAAATGTCTCTTATTTGCAAAAAAGGCATTTTAGACAGGTAAAATTTTACCGGTAGCACTACTCAGAGTAACATAAGTCATGACGACAACACTCTGTACTGTGATTTTTCCGAAATCAATGTGAGCCATAATAGTTGTAGTGAGCCAAGACAGGCGCTATAAACTGCAGGTCGAGCCTGCAAATTCGGTCACGCTAGTCTTGTGTACACTATTAGACATCACTGACTGAGAATAAACTTAGATTGATGGCAGTACCACAACATCAATATAAATTTTCTCTCAGCCGATCCTTTTCAAGGATAATAATGCTAACCAGACTGAACGGCAAAATGTTCTTCCGCTGAAAAGGCTCAGTTTCTGGTGTGTTCAGTCGGTAGTGTAAAATAACTAACTGTTCAGAAAATCGAAGATCACGTTGAAATCAACGTAAAAGATACTGGAATTACCCTACTTCAGGAAAGCTATGTGCATTTGGAGATCGGAAATGGCATCCTGAATGTTAGACACAGCGGAGTTGTTGTTGTTTTGTTGTTGTTGTGGTGGTGGTGGTGGTGGTGGAGGAGGACACGTGCTAACCCAGATTAATGCGAATCCATGAAAAAGTTCGCGAATATTACATAATGACTGTTAGCTGGTCCAGCATTGGATACAAGCCATGGATCTAATTTTATTCTAGTCAGAAACATTTACTTGGCAGCCGGGGGAATCTTCCGCAGAACAAAACCATTTCCCGGATCTTCAATTTGACACTTTGACTACGAAAACAGATACATGTTCGTGTCTCACCGCTGATGACTTCAACAGACATGCGGCAACGAAACTCGCCACAATCGGTCTACCAAAGGTTCTGGATCGGTAGCCAAAAGAAAAATCCCGGAGCAATACGGCACACAGAATCAATCCATGGAGCGAACTGCCAGAATAGTTTAGAACTTAAGATTTTGGGTTCCACCTATGGGTAGTTCTAACAAGGACCAGTGCTGTTTATCAACCATCACAAAATATTCTATGGCAAATAAAACAAATCGAACAAGTAGGAAATTACCGGACTCCGAAGGAGTGAAACCAACATCGAAGACTGTGAACAGTGCCTGGTACGAGATCGAATCGAATGAGAAAACGAAAGACATGGCAGAAATTGCGTTCTGTATTCCAAGTTAAAATGACTTAGACCTTGATATTATCCTATTTGTGTGGATAAACGGAGTGCGATCACACTCGTCCCATCAAAAAGTGTACGCCTGATGTCGTCAATAGAGATCAGTGCGTGTGCTTACTACAACTGGGGCGACACTCTGTTTCTCTCTTTGACGGGAGTTATGAAGGAGCTTTTGGCGGATGCATAGTAAAACAAAAGTAACACATTTCATGTGGAACACTTGCCTAATCACATGACCTGCGATTGGTGCATGTATCCAAGTGTATGATTCCCGCCCCGCCAATAAGCACAAACACAAACAAACAAATCAATGAGCCTCTTTATTTATATAACTGGCTGCATCGATAAATATCGATAGATAGGCCATCAAACTGTTAATGCCAATCGAAAAAGGGAAAGAAACGCGATGAGCTGCGCCAACTGAAACAAACATGAATTGACTTATTGGGAAATTGACCACTTTCTGAATCATTCCGGAAGTAGATCATCCGACAAAAATGATCACGGGACTGAAAAGCTTGTGTTCGCGCATATCGCGTCATACATAGACTGCTCCCTGAATTTCCCCTTACTTTCCTAATATCACTAACGAGTACAATCAGCGTGTGTATCCTTAAAGAGCCTGGGAAATTCCCTGATGTGACTTATATGTGCTAACTGGTACGTATTTTCAACAGAACACACACTCATGTGGTTTTTTTGGACCAAGCATTGCAAAATTGACCTCGGATGATATGGAAATATTTGGCGAGCAACTGAAGACCACGGTCCTGGACCCGGGTCACAAAAGACCGAGCAATGCTGCTGATATGTGAGTGAAATAAACATTCATACCCAAGTAGAGTGATGGTGAAGAAATCCGCCCGGCTAAGGATGGAACTTCCGTAAAACGAGGCTCCACTTTTTGGCGAAAAAGCCCATATTAACATGAGAATCAATCATGAGATACACGTTTTATTATTATTATGCACATTTGTATGAGAAACAGCAGATGGGATGTACCCCATCAATATGAATCAAGTATGGATGGTCAAGTAGCCAGAAACGAACCAAACAAAAAAAGAATAGTCAATGTGATGATGCTGGTGACCAAGTCCCACTTGCATCCCAGTATTCCCACTAAATTTGCTGAACGATGATGGTTGTGTCCCCATGATCATCAGCATTGGTATTCAAATTCCAAAGGATATGCATCTGTGGCTACTTTGATTACCGACTGAATTCTAAAAACTACGATCTTTAGTAGAGGACATAGTTTCAGGATTCAACCATGCGCATAAAATACAAATTCATACTTCAGTTTATTCTGGGTTCATCACAAAGCACTCTGTCCATAAATCCTGTCCCTATGAGGTCAGAATCATCAAATGACCCAACTTGGCAAGTTGGTTCATAAAGATGCTGGTTCGAGCCCAATGTGTTGGCAGGCTGTTGTGTTTCTCCCGTGTGTGGGTGTAGAATCAGAGCTGTACTTCGTCAGGCTGATGATAAGGCCACAAAATTGTTGGCTCACTGAACAAGTGGACACAGCATGGCAGCAGTAGTAGTACCCGGGGGCGTTGTGGTTTTCGCTTGGCAAGCGTCCTCCATTTAGGACGCCATCAGTCGGAAGATGGTGCTGTGAGGTGGTGAGGTGTGGTGTTACCCACTATTCGTAAACCTGTCCCCGGCCCTCCCCCTCTAGTCCCGTTCCGTCTACTCAGCAAGATTCTCCATAAAAGAGGCGGATTAAGTAAACAACTGGCCACTGGTAACATTTTGTCTTTCTGTTTGCACTTGGTTGTACAAAGACTAGAGAGATAACCTTAAATGAAAGGGTTGAACGATGCTGAGGAAAGCTCTAAGAATCTTTATGGGACACTGTGGTTCATGTAGTCCGCTTACGATCCAGCAGGAGTAGGGAAAAGTGAGTGACCCGTAGTGTACATATTCCTCACTTCAGAAAGAAGATTTCTGGCTTTCATAAATCGAGAACATCCCAACCATGTGATTCGCTCATTCCACTTTCTGTTGTTTGCGTAATACAAAAATGTAATGTGCATCAATAATTGAGAGAATTATACACCTTNACATGATTTCCGTTTAGTTCAGTACTGAAGGGAGGAGTGCATCGAGTAATGCAGTACAGGAATATTAATATTTTTCCGATTAATATGTACAGCAGAAAATGTAAACCAGTCTAAACTGCTTTTAGGAGGACCAAAATGTGAAAATGACCATGATATTATTGATTTGTTCTCTGACGATCATTACGAAATACTGAAAAAAAAAAAAAGAATTATCGCACACCTTTCTATCTCCTGAAGGGTAGTGAACAACTTTGGAAAACAGAATGTGATCTGCGGATACCCACTCACCTAGCATCCTTTTCATGATACTTCAATTCTTTCGCCGGTCGTATAGATTCACCGGATACACCGAGACGTTTGCGCAGAAGCAGCACTGCGGCCGGGGAATCGGAATGAATGACTTCAGGTTCTTTGGGTGCTGTGGGAATCTGAGTATCTATGGTGGAATTTTGATCGGTGGAACCGTCCTCCGAAACTGGAGCTAAATTATCCCGGTTCAAACTGATTGTTTCCAGCTGATTGGAGGAATCGGATCTGTTCTGGTTCTGTATAACAAAGTAGAAACAGTGAAATATTGTGAATGAAAAATAAAAAAATAGTTGGCAACGGCCATCGATGGTGTTTGTTTACTGGTAACTTTGCCAATGCAATTACAACTGAAACTCACGGCTTTCTGTAGACGTCGATTTTCTCTATCATCATCATGATGATATCACATTCCCATTGCTTCCATCGAAATCGATTAAATGACAGATATTATCACACATTACACACATCAGTCGGATGCGACTAGATAGCCAGAAAGAATGAGAAAAAGATTCAGGAAAATCGCCTTCCCCACAGAAGCAGCATCTATACTGTCGTTACCATAACAACTAACTGCATTGCAGACATGAGACGAAGATGGAGAGGAGGATTAGTAACTGAGGTAAAATCAGATTCGCAGGTTTCGCATGACATAGGATGATTCTCTATCTGTCAAATAAGAAACACGTCGACCAACCCAAAAGTACGTTTCCCCTCACCCAGGTGTCAGATTACCGGAACAAAGATAAGGAATGAGAATTCATTACGGACACAAAGGGGAAAGAATGATGAGAATTTCCCAGTGGTCGGTAATCGGAATTCCAGGGTTGATGTAACTAGCTAACTTCGGGACAGCAGATTTACTTGTGTGTTTATCATAAAAAACTTTGTGACGAACAACACGGGAACTCCTTGTTCACTCAGCGATAAGTGATGAGCCACATAAGGCTCCACCACGAAAGGTGTGTTGGTTATTGATCAGGACTGATCAGGCATCTCACATCCTGACTAGTAAGATAAAGTAGAAAGGTACTATTGGATTAGTGTGAATCCGAGAGATACTACGTGAAATATTCTGGGATCGGAATAGTGAAATGGATAATTTGAAATGAGACTGAAATGAAAAAAAAATCAGGTTGCGGAAGCGAAAAAGGCAATGCGAGACAGGAAGTCTTTAATGTGCTACGAGTGTCCTGGTAGGCATACGCGTCCGTGTCACGTGCACCTTCCTCAGCTCGGTTAACGATTTGAAATACTTCGATTCCGTCCGTAAGCACGCTCGGGATAATCTGCAACGCGAGCTCGACAGTTTGCATGAAGGTGAACGTGTGTGTGCTATTGTCTGGGTAGGTCAAAGTGCATCCGCGTCTACATCAAGTTATTTGTGCGAGAAATGCAAACGATCAAGTGGAACAATCAGTTAATCTGGTCAAATGATTCCAAGGATGATTTATTGCATTGGCCGGGACAGTAAGAGGAAAACCAGCTGCATTGTTTCACCAGTCCATTGATTGTCGGTTCTTATACATCTCCGACCCAGCCAATAAAAAAATCTGGTTTCAAATAACAAGGACATGAGCAGATATCGAGAGACAGAAAGAGAGAGAGCGTGCGATGTCGCGTAACACGAACGGGAATGTATGATTGTTGGCTGATGTCGACAGAGCACCCAAGCGATCTTTATACAGTTGAAGCACAATCTGGAGCATTACCAAACGGTTGGCTTTTCATTCACACAATAAGTCACGTAATAAAAATCACGATCGATCTCTTAGGTGTGAAAAGTACAAACGGCATTTCTCTCTCTTTCTCCGGACGAGGGACTCGCACAGCCAAACAGAAAGTGGTAAGTACAAGTATTTAGTGATGAATGGGATTTTCTAAATCTAGATTTGGAACAATAAATGACACGATAATTTTCTTAATTTTTTTCTTTTGTTCGATAAGGACGTTGATAACGAAACTGGTCAAAGTGCGTAGGTCAACTTTATATCACCCCGATTCGCCACAACATCTAACTTCCTCGTATTGTTTGTATCCCCTAGACGGGTCACTTCTCCAGTATAGTGATAACCAGTCACTGTGCACCACGAATAATAGATAGACTCAGTGGAGGGAAAACAGAAACGAGCCATACATGAGAATAAATTATTCATCATTGCGAAATGAGCATGGGCGAACTGGTCGCCGATATTTCTGGTGGATCTGAAGAACTAGAAAATATGTCAAAAGGGGTTCGGAAAATGGGACAAAACCCGGCATTTGGACCAATAGAATACCATTCAAGTCAACAATAAAAACGTTCAGTCATTTTTCAGTCTAATGCTATCATGATCAACACGTGTAGTCGGTAATTCAAAAACCTACAACCACTGTGCATTATGCTATGCTAGAATGAACGATCCCGGTTTCTGAATCTCGTGAACCAATGGTTGCCATGAACGCGGAGGACAGTGCAGATGGACGAGATTTTATACCAAATATAAAATAAAACATTCCACATCGACTTTCATGTTCTGAACTACTCTCCACTACCCCCCCCCCCCTCACACACCCCGCTCACATACACACACCAAATAGTGAACGCGTCGATTTGGGCTACAGAGACGATCACACGTTTGTTCAAAATCTTTCACTGATAGACAGTAATCAGACAATCGTTTTTTCACCTAACTGGTATATCTGACAAATATGCTCCGGTCAGGTTGCTGTCAACTGTCTCGTTGATATATATATATATATATATATATATATATACTGGCGGGCTTGATTCGATGGTATACTGAATATCGTGCACATAATAAACAAAGTGTGCGTTGAGAAGGCAGACTAGCACTAATGTACAGCTTTTCCCACCTGGTTCGATTTCATACATGAACGTTTTGTACCAGTTTAAACAAAAAAGTCAAACCACTTTGCTTGATCTATTCCTGTTTATGTGGCCGGAATAAAAGCGCAACGTAACTAGATGATCGAAGGAATTAGCACTGCTGCCGAACAAACGAAACTACCCGGCAAACGTTGCCTAGATGAAGCGGTTCTCATATCCCTGCCACTTGGTGTAGCGTCTGTCCCTTGGGGTTGTGCTAGATTCATTCACGACTACGTACATCTCAGCATGCACCTACCATCAGTATGCACCATGAATGGAAGCATCAGACCAATGATATTGGACAGATCAATTTCCCAAAGATTGTTTTATAGGAAAAATATGTTGAAATTAACAGTGAGAGAGAGAGAGTCCGGATGTTAATAAAAACGCCCCTTCGCTCCCCCCTTCCCTCATAGTGAACGGAATAGAGACGTACCCACGATTCAACCAGTTGTTGATCCAGAACCGAACGCAATTTGTCCACTTCTCGTTCCAATTCTTGAATACGAAAATCCCTCGAACGAACTGCGGCACGAAGACGATCAACCAGACCTTGTAACTGGACAACCATATCCACGCCTGTTGGGAAATTCAGCTTGTTTGCATCCCCGTTGACTAGCGTTTGTGGGAAACAGGAGGCGTCTGGAGGTGTCAGTGGTGGAGAGGGTGGAATTGGTGATGGTGGTTGTTGTTGCTGCTGCTGCTGCTGCTGCTGCTGTTGCTGTTCTAAAAGCTTGTTTGCTGGTTGAATGGCGCTAGTCAGGGCGGTCGGTTGTACAGAACTCGGCAATTGAGCACGATAGGTCGCGGAGTTGGCTGGGCCGACTACGGGCTGATGAATACCGGGAGGAGTTGCTTGACTGGAAAGTAACGTGGCCGGCAAAGGTGTACTAGACACGTTTGAGGATCGTTCACAGGCGGATGACATCGATAAAACTGAGGATGTACTGGGTTTGATCAGATGGATGCTGTTCCCAGCCGACTGACCGGTGGAACTAGGGACGCTTCCTTTAGCGCTCTCTGGTTCCACCACCGGACTTCCCTGATAAATAAAACAAAAAGAACAATTAAGTACCAGTTCACTATGAATAAACACAAAATAATGATTCAATGATACAAAATATGCCTTCTGAACAACAACTCAGCTGAACCCCCCCCCCCCAAAAAAAAAAACCGGTTCAATCCATTATATTATGTAAATGAAATAGAGTTGCAGGGAACAGCTGATCGAAGACATAGATCGAAAGAATGAAAATGAACCTCTCTCGGCTGATCCTTAAACAATCCGCAGTTAAGCTAACCAGTTCGTTCAATCTACTTATCAGCAAATGTACCAATGAAAAGAGAAGCCCGGATGAATAGAGAGTGGTACGCACTGTCCATGTCTCGAAACAAGAAGTTGACCAATTTAAACCACTGCCTGCACATATATTTTACCTTAGACCCCAAAAAGACTGGTTTTACCCCGTATGAGCACATCCATTTGCACGATAACAACCGGTTTACATACGGCGTGCAAACGCCCACTTCATTCGCTCAGTTTTGTCTACTTTTTATATTTCAGGCAAAGCCCTTCGTTTGTGTTTCCTGGATGGAAGTTAGACCTTTAAATCCATACACAGGTCTTCACGCTACAAGAAACACCGTTTCTAGCATGAATGAAAGACTACTTTACTGGCAGATATCAACTGACCACTGTGAATCTGATGCCATTTTTTTAAATTCCGGGATGTCGCGGGGCGTCACTTTATCCACACCCCCTTGTTCTTTTTTTACATTCAGAATATACCAAATATTGAATAAGCAAATGATGTCGCATTCGATTCTAACTCAGACGAAAAATTCCAATCAGCGTATCTCCACTCTTCTATATTCAGTCAGTCTGTTTCCACTCGGTTATACATTAATGCTTCTAATTGCGGTGGTATTCCATTCGCACTCGCAAAGGATGAACACCTTTGAGAAGTAGAACACAAGTGCTCTCAGTCGTTTATTAGGGATTGGTGCGACCCTACACTTGGCAGTGTAAATGACTTGGGCGCTATTTTATCCCGAGATCTTACATGGCTTTTATATTAAAGAGATTTTTTAAAAAGAAAGCTACGGGAACTGTTTATGTGCCAATATGAAAATGTTTAGATATCTCTTAAGCTGCCCTCATTCGGTTTGTGCACACTTGCGTTCTATCCCATTTGCTACTCTGTTTTGTATCTTGAGAATCACTTAACTTTTCTCAGAGCCCTAAAGACAATCTCACGCGCAAGTGGAATCGGAAATCCCAGCTTAGTTACAATTCGATTCGTGCAATTATCTCTTCCACAATATCTTTGCCCGACATCCCCAAACCAGTCAATCCCACACTATTCATCCGCTTCAGCAACGCAAAACATGTACAAACTTTTTTGATGCTCGCACAAACGCCCACCGTTAACCTGTCATTCCTCATTTAACGCGATGTTTGGCGTAGCAGCGCTTACCAAATACCGAACATACAGGGAGGAGTACTCAAGTGATTGGAAATTTTTCCTTCTTTTTGATTCACTTTCTCGTTTACGATTGCATTTGATAGTGATATACGTATTCCACTGAAAACAGTGCCTCCCCCCCCCGCCACACACCCTATTTGGAGGGAATATAGTAAGCATTTGACCTCGCCTTACTTTACTTGACCATTTCGATGAAAAGTGACCCAAATGAATTGGTCTACGTTGACCAATTCAGTCACTCATCCATTCTGCTACAATTTACCAGTCAGTGAACTAAAAATGAAACAAGTGCTGCGGCTGCTGCTGTTACTGCGACTGTTCGCATTTGGTAACCCCGTTTTTCTTCTAACCGCATACACCCGCCCCTACCAGGTTTGCTCCACAGATCCGTACAAATTTTAGGTCTTCTAGACATAGTTGCGAAAATTCATTCGCAAACCCATATTGGTGCACGCAAAACGAGGACAAACGTGAAACGGAGGCCGTGGACGAACCGCACGCATGTCATGTGTTCTATTGACCAAGCACATACGAAATATTGGTTGTCAGCAAATGTGTTTGATCGTTTATTCTTTCATCGATATGATTTATTACCACAGACTGGGGTGTCATAAATTATAGAACACTAACAAAGGAACATGGATAAAAAAATAGACTAAACTATCGGTGTATGGTCTAGCATGATTTTTCCTAGTTAATCAGAAATGGAAAAAATATAACAATGAGCGGAAAATATTCTCACATCAAGCCAACCATGACGACAATGACAAATTGGCCTGGGAATTAATGTATTGACTACACTGGGGGATGTTGCGTAAACCTTTTTATTCCTGTTGATCACATGCGAGTAGAACTGGCAATGTAAAGCATGATTGAAGAGGTTGTTTCGAATTAATAACGGTCTCCACAGGACAAAGATCCAAGTCGGTAATACTAAAAATACTTAAAAGTATCGGTATATTCGTAAATACACGGATGCTGAAAAAAATTATTTACTACAAATGTTGATGGTGCAGCGTGCGACCTCCAAACCTCATCATTTTTTAACCAAGCTTTGAAACATCAACATTTGTAGAACATACATTTTTTTTCAGGATCCGTTGACTTCAGAATATACTGATACTTTTGATCTGACTCACCTACTGCGGTGTGACTAAAGTTTGTGTCGAGGCTAAAGCACTGCGGGTTTTGGCTAAAGATTGATGGGGAAAAGGTGTAGTTGACCATCCCACACGGATCTCCGTTCGAGCCGGCGCCAGTGCCCACACCCCCGATCTAATTCGCAATTCGGCCTATTCTTTCCTCTGGTATAGTTGTACTCTTCCTCTTCTTGGCTCATCAGATCATTGTTTTTTGCTCTAACAAGTTTATCAGTCCCGATCCCCTAACCACCTCGCGACACATTCTGTAGCTACAACTCAGCCAACTTGGACGGTTTCCGTGATTTCCTAGCTTCCTATCAATAGAATGATCGTTGTTTTCCTTAAGACGTTTCAAAATCTGTTTCCAACTTTACTGACATTGTTCTTTAAGATATGCATCGATTTTTTCAGCAATTTTCCAAACCCGGCAAACCCAAATCCCCCGAGTGGTATAACCACACGTGATCGTGCCGTATACCTAAAACGCTCAGTCTCCCATCGCTGTCGCCGCTTGCCCACTCCAAACTCCCACCATCGCTTCGTGCAAGCTAGGAACAGATGCTTGATAACCATTTAGAGAACCAAAGAACGCTTCGTTCGTTGTAAAGCCGAAAACGTGGTCTCGTCCACCACCGGTAGTCAAACACTTTGGTCACTTGCCAAAACATTTTCCCGTAATTTCTGCCCTTCGAACTCCCTCCCCCCCCTCCCATCTGTAATTCCTTTGGTATTCTTGCACGTCAACCACACGAGAAAGCTGAGGTTTTTCCTCTCCAGTTGGGAGCCAACTACACCTTACCTTATTATCCCACTCATACACCTAGAACTAGAAAATTTCACCTGAAATCGCGCTCACTGAACGCAAACAAACCACCCGATCCGGACGGCATTCTATCCATCATGTTCAAATTATGTGCTCCCGAGCTGGCTTCTATTTTACGTCGTCTTTCCAGTCTCTCCCTCCAACGTTCTACTTTACCAACCCCTTGAGAAACACACCGTCGTTTTTCCATCCCGAAACGCGGCGATCTTTTTGACCCCAACAAGTACCGACCCATTTCTCTCATCTGTTCTTTCGAAAGTATTTGACGCCATTATCTTCGACCAACTACGCACGTTCCTCGGGCGTGAAGGACTACTGAGCAACCGCTAGTATGGCTTCCGACAATGTCGTTCCTTTGGTGACCTGCTGGCTTTTGTTTCACAATCCTGATAGGCAGCACTCGATAAGCACGGAGAAACACACTTGGTCTCGCTTGATATCTCAAAGGATTTCGACCGAGTTTGGAACGAACGTCTACTGGCGAAACTGCCCATGTTCGGGTTCCGTCTGGCTCTCGTATGTCCAGCTTCCTTAGTAAGCGAACCATCTTCGTCCGAATTGATGGGATTCTATCTCAGCCGTTTCCCGTGAATGCTAGCGTTCCCCAAGATTCAGTACTTGCGTCCGCTATCTTTCTTCTATTTATCAATAAACTTTACAAAACTATCAACCCAATCGATTCTTTTGCCGATGATGTCACTCTTCATTGCTCCCTCTCCTACCACACTACCTGTCATACCCAAACCAACATCGATGGTGACCGTAGTGCAGTTAATTTGTCACTGGACTGATCCTGAACACATCTCCTCTTGGAGCAATACCAACCATGTTTCAATCAATGCTTCAGAAAACTTCCTTCTTTGAATTTCTCTAAAACACCATTCATCCCCGCTCCAATTGTTTTTTATTCCCCTCGACTCTATTCCACAAACTCTGTTTTCATTCTTGGATTGCCTATAAATTCTTCATGCTGGTCCTTTATTGTATCTCACCTGGCTTCTCATGCTGCGTGCAAAGTTGTTTCTTTTTATTCCATGCCAGACACTTCTCCCCACCTCATCTTCTTCTACTGTCCAAAGCTCAGATCTGCCCGTTATTGAATACTGCAGTCGCTGAGGGGTGAGGCTTCGTCTTCTTCTGGTTCCCTACTAGATCGTGTTCAACGAAAGGCCATCCGGTGGATCTATGATTCTTCCTCAACCTCCAATCTGCAGTCAGTAGCCCACCGTCGAACCTTTGCATCAATGAACCCGCTCTACCGTTACTACTTTGGTTTTTGTTCTTCGGGGCTTGCCTTGGCAGTGCCTCTTCCCGTAACTTTTGCCCGCCCATCGTGTACATAAGTATCCAGTTATCGTAATCAGGTTTCTGTTACCAGATGTCGTACCTCTCTGCTCCAATCTTCTTGTCCCCCGAAATGCCAAACTGTGGAACACCTTCCCACTTTCTTTCCCCAAACTTATAACCCTACATTCTTTAAATGCCGAATCAATAAACTGGATCTTACGTGAGTGTTACCCTACTCTCCCTTTTACTGTAACCCACATCATGTATAATAGAAAAATATTAAAGTAGGAGAAATAATTCACTG